ATTATTGTATGATTCCACTTACATGAAAAGTCCAAAGTAGACAAATCTATAGAGACAGAAAGATTGGGGTGGTGGATATGGGGGACTGGAGAGATACCTAAAGGTTGTGGCATTTCTCAGGACAATGGAAATGTTTTAGAATTGATTGTGGTGATAGATGCATAATTCTGTGAATGCTAATAGCCACTGAATTTTACACTTTAAGTGGGTGAATTGTATAATGTGAATTATGTCAATAAAATAGTTTAAAAGAACATGTAGACATGGACGACAGGTAAAATGGGCATGACTGTGTTCCAATATTTTATTTACAAATACAGGCAACTGACCAATTGGCCATCATTTGCTGACCCTTGTTATAGAGTAATAAAAACTAATTTTTCAGCTGGGCACTGGCTTACCAGAAAATAAAATACTACCCTTTCCACATGTCTTGCAGAAGCTTGTGTGTAACATTTGGGAACCATCCTTAAATGAAACAACTGTGCTTTTCTTTGAATCCCCTAGTCTTTCCTGTTCACTGGAATGGCTACAGCTCTACCAGCCATCTTAGATCATGAAATGACCTTGGAAAATGGACACCACAGATAGTGGAGCAACAAGATAGGAGCCTGGAATCCTCACACCATGAATAACTGTACTAACTCTAAATTGATTTCATCTAGACTTCTTAAAAGAAAAAAATTAGTTTATGTCATGTTTAAATAAATTTATTTTGGAAATTTATATTACTTCATCATAGCTGAACATAATTCCAACTATTATACCTCTTAAGGAATTAAAAAAACAGCTATGCCTTCTGGAAGGATCAAGTGGATGCTAAAGGAGGCTCAAATCTATGTCTGTCTTTTGTTTTGTTTTGTTTTGTTTTGTTTAACAGCAATTCATTCTTAACATACTGGCCTTTTAAGCTGGAGTCCTACAACTACTTGAGTTCATATTTGTAAGAAAGATGTAAGAGGATATACTCCCTGATTAACCAATCCTGTGTTAACTTTAAAAAAAATCAAATTTCATAAATAGAAGCAGAACCATATCTCTTATCAGAACAGTTCCACTGTTTACTAAGTCCCTGTAGCTAAATACAAACCCCAGGGCTTAGACCAAGTCCTGATCACTATGTACACAGAGTCTGTTGTGGGTTTCCTCATGAGTTCAGTAGTGTGAATATTAGTGTGTGATATCTTCTGCTTTGCAGAATGCAAAAATAACAGGGTCCTCTGGGTATCCAACTTTCCTTGACAAGATTAATGTCTAAAAAGCTCTAAAAGTGTCACAAACGATCTCTAGAGATCATATTTACATTTGTTCATAAAGATACAGGGCTGCAAAGTCACCACAGCACAACTCCTCCTTAAGAGTGTGAGACATAAACACAGACCTAATGTTCTCATGACCCCCCTTCCCCCAAAAAGGTATCTCTGTGTTGCAGAGTCACACTCTGTGATGGATTGAATGTTTGTGTGCCCTTCAAATTCATATGTTAAAGCCCTAACCCCCACTGTGGCTATATTTGGAGATGGGGCCTCTAAGGAAGTAATTAAGATGAAATGAGGTCATAAGGGTGGATCCCTGATCTGACAGAATTAGTGTCTTATAAGAAGATACACCAGAAAGTTCTCTCTGTTTCTCTCCCATGCCTCCTCATCTTGAGTATGTACCGGGGAAAGGCCATATGAGGATATTGTGAGAAGGCAGCCAGCTGCAACCCAGGAAGAATGCCCCTCACCAGAAAGCAAATTGGTCAAAACCTTGATTTTGGACTTTGAACTTCCAGAACGATGAGAAAATAAATCTCTGCGTGTAAGTCATTCAGTCTATGCTATTTTGGCTGTGTCAAAAGACTGATCCAAAAAAACAGTGTGAAGAAGTTTTTCCTTTAGCATCATTTTCCAATTATCTTCTGATAAAATCTACTTTAACACTGGCATGGTCATAAACTGGGTTTACACTCTAGACCTGCTTGAAACTTAAACTTGACCCACTCTCACAGATGATTTTTAGGTTTGTTGGATGCTGCAACTCCTATGACATGTAGCATGATCAAACATGGATTCCTGAGACTTGGGACTTTTGGTACTAAAGCAGGGAAAGTCCAAGGCACACTGGACAAGTTGGTCACTCTAGATAGGCAATGCATTCTATTCCTCTAGCTATTGCTCCATCTGCAGCTATGGTTTCTCTAATAATCCATACCATACAGATTCTCTCCATACACAAGAGTCAAAAAAGTCTCAGGCAAACTTCCTCTTTTTTTCATGTGGCCCACATCTGCTGCACAAGAAACACTCAGGCATCATTTGCCTTGACAAACTATGGCAGTGACTATCGATCCCAACATAGCAACTCTCCTTCACTCCTATGCCAAAATTCTCACTGGCCCATCTCTCCTGCCCCTGGGGTTTCCCAGATGTGACTCACAATACTACTGTAACTCTCAAAACGCAGGGAATGCATATCAAGTTCTCTGAGTATTGCTATTGAAGCTCCCTTCACTAGACTTGAAGGTGAGTGGGGAAGCATAACAATGGCTCTCCCCAAAACTTCACCTTATAAACTCATCTCTTTCAACATCTTTTAACCCATGAAACTGGTGAAAGGTCCAAGAGTGGCAAAATCAGTTCTTGGACAGTGGCTGCCAATACAGGAAGCAAAACCGATCAAGGGCCCCAGATGCTTGCTGCACTCTGAATTCCCTGGCCACATTTTCACCCATGGGTTGCTCCAGCTGGTGACTGAGAGCAGCACAGATAATAATGCAGGCTGGTTCCCGAAAGGACTCCTCTGGCAGGTGATTTTGGCTTGAGAATTTCCAATAGTCTTTCTAAATCTTGCTTAGACTATTTGGCAGTCTAGGAAACTTCCACCACCCTTCTCTCCCTTTCTCCTTCACTTAGTTTCAGACTTGCATCCTCTCCCAGCCTTGCTTGGCTCCCTCCCATTCTCTCTCACAGGCGTTTCCTCTAATAAAATTGTTGCACATTTAATCCCATCACAACAACTTCTCATCAAAGTCAGACTAACGTAAAGACATTTCTTTGGAAAATATGCATCTTGTCAGCACCTCACTTTGGTGTTTCATAGTTGTTGCTTTATAATAATGCAGGCAAAACTTCCAGTTTATAGTTATGCTACTAACCACAGGATGAATGAATGACATGGTAAGAGAAAAAAACAGGAAAAGTGATGAGATTTTACTTTACATTTCTTTTTGTTCAACCACTCCATTTTTGTTAAAATATATGTCTAATTTGAATGAGCATCAAGATGAATTTTTAGTAAGAGTTATCACCGTGGGTGCTGAGTATGTGAGCGGGAACATCATAGATGCTAACTTACCTTTTAGTAGGTAACTAGGCCTGTGCCAGGACTTGGATAAGAAGGCTGTTACATGCCACCCTGGAGTTCCAAAGTAACTCCAACCCCAATATCACCATGTGTCTTTGTTCCTCCACATTTTCTTCTTCCCGTGATCACTTCTCATTTTTCCCTTCTATCTTCTTTTTCTTGTTTTGTCACTGCTTTAGAAGTCACTAATAAGCAATAGTGGGAAGCAGAGTATGTGCATAAAGAATGAAGCTTTCTTTGGCAGTCTGAAATAAATTGCTTAAAACTGTACCCCAAAGCAGCCAGAATAAAAATAGCTTTTTATACTTGTTCTCCAGCATTTTAAGTACCCAAAGGCCCCACATTCCATGCCCTCTGAAACTTTGTTTTAGATATGACTTTTGGTTGTGGCATATTCTCATACGAAAGTGTGTGAAAAACATCAATTTGCTTTTTTACTTTTCCTGTGAGGATTATAGAACCAAAACAAAACATCAAAAATTTTGAGAATACATCGACTCACAAAAATCCAATGTTTTTCTAGTCAAACAGGATTTCCCTATGTGATTTGTATCAAGGACGGTCATTTGTCAAAATATGACAACATGCCTTTGCCTTCATTACAACGGCAGGCAATTAAAAATGTTTTTACCATAGCCAGTTTGCTTATTTTTCTATTTTAAAAAGGTATTATAGCAGATATGCAGCCGAGAAAGCAGAGAGAAAAAGATCACCCACTATTCAAACACTATCACTGTTAATTTTGATGTATTTCCTGTGTTTTTTCTATGCATAATTTGTTTTTACAAAAACATAGCCTTAGTGGCTATTCACACTTTGAGTACTGGTTAACGCAGAAAGAAGATTAAACAATAGATTGGTTTTCAGTCACATTCTAAAGAAACAGAAGCCAAACAAACACTTGATCTGGTGGAAAGCCCAAGATTATGATCCTTGGCCCCCTGTTAAGGCCAGCAAGAGTATCTGATGATAGAGGCCTCCAACTGTCTTAGTCCTGGATTTAAAAGGGCCTAATCAGAGTTAAAATGCTCCCCAGAGCCTAGCAATCATTGACAGTTTCCTCAGGTAACCAGCGCTGCAAACACAGGGAGAGTGCTGCAAAGGTGAGGTGTCAGAGACCAAGTGAAATCTGAGGTTCAGCCAAGGGGACCCAGGCACACCGTTCGGCCTTGTGTTCACCATAAAGAGCACACTGGCTACAGGTTGGCCCCTCTCTGGGCCACAGAGTGCCTAACTTAAAGGAGCTTACCAGGATGCCAAGGGCCAGCAGCTCTGGTTTTACAAAAGGGAGTCACCACAGAGAATGTGGTGTCTGAGTTACACCACGTCCACCAAGTACCAGCTATACGATCTCGGACAAATTTACTCGCCCTCTCTTAGCCTTAATTTCCCTATATGTAAAATGGAAGTAATAAATTCCTGACTGCTGGGATTGTAGTAAGGAAGGGATTAAATGGCTTGCCAATCAGGTGTTCAGCACAATGCCCGCCCGACACGTAAAACGCCTTGGGGTTGGTTGTAAGACCCACAACCTCTCTCCCCAACCTTCCTCCGCCCCGCCACCAGCCGCCCAGCTGCAGCTGCTTCCGGGAACCAGTTAACTTCGGTCTCCCTCGGCCGAACGCGGATACCTCCGCGTTGCGTCACTTCCGGGAGACTCTGGCCGCTGCTATTCGATATTTCCGATGCAACTGTCATGGCTGCCATCAGTGAGAGCCCGAAATGGAGATCGGGTTAAGGGTTGCCCAGGGGCACTTAGAGCCTTCGGCTTCAAGGAGGCCTCTCAAAGGACAAAGGATGAGATTTTCTGGCGGCAAGGTGCCCCCCACAATCCTAGGAAGTCTGTTGTCGCGCTTCCCGTTAACTTGCCGCTAAGTTTTTCTAGAAAACTCGTCCTTCTTGGCAGGGTGGGGCCTCACTTCTGACCCAGCCCTTCTTTGTGTACCAAGTTTTTGTTTCCGTCACTTCCCGCGGCCCGGGAGCTCGGCGGGCCATACCGTGGTAGCCTGGGAGGAAGGGGCGGGCCGGATGCTGGAACCTAGAGAGGTGGGGCTCGTCGAGGAGTCACGGGCGGCTGAGGCTGGAGTCTTCTAAATGGAACCTTGAGTTACCCCACCCTTTGGTGCCTGGTCTCTCTTAAATCTGGGTGCTCCTCACCGTGGAGGCGCTCAGAGCTGATCATAAGGCTCTTCCCTGCTGACCCAACCACCCTCAACCACAGCCTGCCCTGCTCCAGATAGACTTTGATCCTAGAAAATATCTAGGATGGGCATAGTGCAGTATGTTGTTTTGTTTTTTTTTAAGTCTCAAACATAAGCAAACTGTTATTAAAAGTTTTAGAATTAATAGGCAGAGTTCGCATATTGGGTCATGTGATCGTTTTAAGGTTTAAATTTAGATAACATGTTAGCAAAAGCATTAGAAAAAAAACCAGTATGAAAAAATAGACTAATCTTTAGAATATTTTAACTTTGCTACTGCGCGGTGGTAACATGAAGACACCTTATAATAAAGTTTTCATTACCAGAAGCTTCTGAAAATAAAATTCTGGATATATTAATGTGAGTTTTCCTCTCTGCAGGGTGTCCTGTAGGTTTTGTCATGGAGTGAAACAGAAACAAATGTGAGTTAATCATTAACATTTCCTAGTGGTTAAAATTACTTTTTAAGCGTGTAACTGTGTATTTTTTAGATTCAAGATTTGAACTGAAATTTTGATTTAACTGAAATATTTAATATGTGATGAGTTGATATTAAAAGACAGAAGATTACTATTTTTATAGAAACAATGTAGAAGCTAATATTTAAAGCAAGTTTACTCCACATACTGTGTTATAATTTAGATTTTCACTGAAACTCTCAAAATTAGAAGAGCTGAGCTAGTAAGGCTTAAACCTCTAAAACTTGTGGTTTTAACCAGGCTTAATATACGTAGTTATAATAGTTTTTAAAAAAAAATTTATCAAGTTCCTCGGGTGATTCTGATATAGTATTTTAAATAAAGCAAAAAGAAATGATCTGTTTATACATTAAATATTTTGCCCCCTGTTTATGTATTGAGATTGTGCTTATAAATGCATTCACACATATTGAAGTACGTAATTTGATCATCATGCCAGCGTGGAATCTTGCTTTTTGTTTGGTTTCTTGCAGGTAGGTCTACTGGGTTCTTGGCACAGTACCTGGACAAAACATTGTTAAGGTGGAAATTTTCGTTGTATTTATCACTTCAAACATTTGACCAGTTTATTTCGTTTTCTAGTGCTTTAGACAAACAACTATATGTGGGCTTGACTTAGTGTATAATAAATGTAAAGTCTGATCTCAAATAATTGACATTTATGGAGTACTTAACATATGCCAATCTTTGTGACAATTGCCAGACATATCTTATTTAATGCTTACAACAGTACTGTGAGTTAGGTTTGTTAAATCCCTGTTTTAATAGATGGAGAAACTGAGGCAAGGATGGATTAAGTTCCTTGCTTATGGTTACAAAACTAGAGCCATCTTCTTACCTACTTATTTTGTATGACACCCCTTTTCCTCCATATAACTGTACACTGGTAGAAGAGTGAATGACTGTAGAAAACCGACCTGGACTCTATTCTACCTCTCCAGCTTTGTGAATTAGGGCAAGTCATGTGACCACTCTAAATTTCATTTTCCTCACCTATAATAAATGAAAACTTTCAACTGTTATGTTTTATTGAACCTTGAATCATCAAAAATCCTTAAGGCTGGGTGTGGTGCCTCACGCCTATAATCCCACCACTTTGGGAGGCCCAGATGGGAGGATTGCTTGAGGCCAGGAGTTTGAGACCAGCTTGGTCAGTCAGCATAGCAATATCTCATCTCTACTCAAAAAAAAAAAAAAAAATCCTTACAATGGTGCCTTTACTATTGAACCTGGGATTTTCTTCCAAGCCCCTTGTGCTCATTCTGAGTTTTGAAGTTTTGATGCACATATAGGCAGTGCCAACTCCATCTCCATTGCTGTCTAGTCTGATCATATTGTAAGATGTGACTGATTTTAGAGATGTCAAAATGTAAAATAATGTGCATCTTGGAATTGATGAGCTCATTTTCAACCCTAACTCTGTAACATCTGTGACTTTTTAACATTTTATTGCAGGATTAAGTATTTTTGAATGTAAATGAGTCAAGATAAAGCATAGATTTCATTTGATCACATCTGCAAAATAAATTTTTAAAAAATTTAGTCTTCATAATAATGGAAAAGTAGGAACCATGTTTGTCTTTATCACCTGTGAATCCCCCATACTGAGAACATGCTTGGCACATAGTGAGTTTTCAGTGAACATTTACTCAATGAAGGAAACAAGACTTCATTTCTTTTTTCTTTGTTTGAGACAGAATCTCACTCTGTTGCTCAGGCTGGAGTGCAGTGATGTAATCTTGGCTTACTGCAGCCTCTGCCTCCAAGGCTCAAGTGATCCTCCCACTTCAGCCTCCCAAGTAGCTAGGACTACGGGCACACACCACCACACCGGGTAATTTTTTAATTTTTTTGTAGAGACAGGGTCTTACCATTTTTCCCAGGCTGGTGTTGAACTTCTGGGCTCAAGTGATCTGCCTACCTCAGTCTCCCAAAGTTATAGGATTACAGTCATGAGCCACAGTGCCCCGCCACGTCTTCATTTCACATTACAAATACAACATTAAAAAATTGTATTTGGCTTGAATTAGACATAAAATATACAGTCACGCATCGCTTAATGACAGAGATACATTCTGAGAAATGTGTTGAGTGAGTTTGTTATTATGCATGTACTTACATAAATCTACATGGTACGGCCTACTACATACCTGTATGGTATGGCCTATTGCTCCTAGGTTACAAACCTGTATAGCATATTACTGTACTGGCTACCACAGGTGGTTGTAACACAATGGTATTTGCATATGTAAACATGTCTAGACGTAGAAAGGGTACAGTAAAAATATTATAACTTTATGGGACCATCAGTGAAATGTCATGCAGCACATGACTGCAATAGTATTAATAGTGCGAAAATATGTTGCACTGAAATTTTTTGCATTCAAAAGTTCACTGTTACAAACTGTCTTTCTTTCCAGGTATCTTTTCTTCTGCTTGTTATTGTTGGTTGTCATCAAGTATGGGGTATATTTTGTTCGTTGAAGAGGTATAGTAAAAATTGAAGTGTTGGCATATAGACTTTCCAACAAGGAATCTAACTGATTTATTTTTAAACTGGCCAAAGTATAGGAACATTATTTAATTTTTAGCAATCTTCATTGTAAGAAAAGTTCAAAAAATGTTGATAGCTTATTTAATTTTTGTGAGTATTCTGGAGGTGATTAGGCATACTGTCTTTCCCAAATATTATTCCAAATAATGTTGAATATTTCTGAGTTATGAATAATAAACTACAATTGGAAGATGTATTGAAATTATGTCAATGGGCAGAAAAGTGTTCAAGTTTTGGGGTGGGCAAGTGTGAGAATAATGTAACAGGAGAAATTATTCCAACCATAAGTATGGCTGTCTGACAGTCTGTACTTTCAGTTAGAACCAGGAAGGTGGCACAGGAATAATTATAGAGTTGTAGACTGTTTTCTGTAGATAATCAGCTGAGTATTGTGCTGTGGCCAGAAAAGCCAATGTGTGACATATCATCTGGAAGGGATTTGGGAAAATTAACAAAAAAAATTTTTACCCTCAAATAACACAGTGTTTTAACTAAACATGAGATACAGGAAATTATTTTATATTAATAATCCAGATGTTAAAAATCATTTCAATTGTTAAATGTGATTATGGCTATAATTTTACTTACATAATTCTGTAAAGAATATATGCCTGTATATTCAATTTTTAAAGACCAAATACAGGAGTAAAGTCATTTACGTAATTACAAAAATTCCTGCCACTAAAATAAAACTCTGTACCACGTGATAGCACTTCATTACTGAGTGAACATTAACCATGAACATCTTGGAATTTTCACTATGAATTTCCTTTTCTCAGAGCCCTTTTTTAACAGAAAACACAGTTTTTATTCTTTAGTTATGCCTGTGCAGTAATGAGGGAATAGTATTCACTTCTGTTAGTACTTACTTCCTTGCACAGACTTTGTAATGTATACTTTACTGAGTTCCCCAAACCCAAAGGAGAATAAAGCCAAGGGCCTACAAAAAATTATTTTATTAGTCCAAAAAAGTAATTCATTTTATGAAGTTTTCACAGAAGTTTATGCTTATTAATCAAAGACCTTCAAGTTTGAAGAACTGAAGGAGAAGTGGTATCACTACATTTGGAGCAAATAGTTTCTTTGAATAATTTTTTAAGTACCTAAGGATTGCTTTGTATTACCCTGAAAATTGTTTTCCTTTAAAATTTTTTTTATTTCCACACCGTTTTTCTCCATCTTTCTGTTTTCCTGTAAATGAGTAACAGTAAACCCCCCACCCCAACAAAATGTGAATTCACCTAGGCTGAAATCGTAAGATATATTCACTTTGTTTTCCCTACTTTTTCTGCATCTTCAAGAATTTATATCAAATACGGATGAATTTGAACATTTGACATTTGGAGATATTCTGTGACTCAAACGAATAAAACAGAAAGACATGGGACACTTGAAAGGAGGACCAGAAACAAAATTCTAAAACCTTCTCATTACTTACCTACAGCAAAGATGAATTTATAAGCATCTCATGTAAACTCTAGGGTAAGTAAATTTTTAAAAAGTTTAAAAATTTTAAACTTTTAAACAAGTAAATTTTTAAAAAGTTTAAAATTTTTAAACTTTTAAACAAGGAGTACAAATGGATTTTGCTAATTTAAGACATCATTGTTTTTCATTTAGTATACTGGTTAAAGGATTTTCCAAGTTAATTAACAAATTTATTTTCCAAATCCTGAGTTTCTCCTTTTAGGTGTCAGCCATAATTTCTCATCGGGAGTGTTTAAAAATGTTATCCTACCAGTTGGTGAAAAAATATACCTCCTTTCTAATCTTTATTGGAAAATCATTTTTCTTTTCTTTTCTTTTTTCTTTCCTTTTCTTTTCTTCCCCTCCCCTCCCCTTCCTTCCCCTCTCCTGCCCTCCCCTTCCCTTCTCTTTTTTTTTGAGGCCTGATCTCACTCTTGCCCAGGCTGGAGTGCAGTGTTGCAGTCTCTGCTCACTGTAACCTCCGCCTCCCAGGTTCAAGCAATTCTCCTTCCTCAGCCTCCCAGGTAGAGGGGATTACAGGCACCCGTCACCACGCCCAGCTAATTTTTGTATTTTTCTTCAGTAGAGACAGAGTTTAACAATGTTGACCAGGCTGGTCTCAAACTCCTGACTTCAAGTGATCCACCCTCCCCCCGCCAAGCCTCCCAAAGTGCTGGGATTACAGACATGAGCCACCACGCCCACCCAGAAAAAAATCATTCTTTATAGTCAAAGCTTAAATGCTTCATGACCCATCTTCATAGGAGAGTATTCTTTTTATGCTCTGTTCCCTGATTTGGTGACTGCGAGAACTCTTTTATAACATTTATGAAGTGCTTGCACAGCATTAAGAGATAGGCATTAAAAAATGACTATATCTTGCCTCAGCCCTGGAAGTACCTATGGGAGAGTGACATTTAAA